GTGTGTGTGTGTGTGTGTGTGTGTGTGTGTGTGTGTGTGTGTGTGTGTGTGTGTGTGTGTGTGTGTTTGTACCTGGTGAGCGTGCAGGAGATTTTGCAGAGTTTATTCCTCCGTCGTGATTCTCACTGGGCAGTTGAAGCTCCATGCGGGGTTTGGGGATGTACTCCTTCCGGGGTTTGTTGGACATCTCCTTTATCCTGTAACACACACACATATTTTAATCAACAGCACATATTTACAATAATTTATAATAATTATTAATTATAAAATAATTTAAATAATAATTAAAAATAATACTTCCATTTTTTTGCATGTAATTATATCTTCAAAGACAATTTTATTTTATTTTAGAAACATGCGTTTCTGGTAAATCTGATAAACTACAGTGTTGTTTTAATGTGAATTAATGTGTCTCCCAGTGGATGTAAAGTAGTTGTCGTGTGAAGAACCCAGGTGCATGATGGGAGTTTGGAGCGTCTGACCTGTCTTCTATCTTGCTGGAGAGCTGCTGCAGGATCTCAGCAGCCTGCTGATGATACTCCACCTGAGCCTGAACCAGAGCCGACAGCTGACTCACCTGCTAGATCTACACACACACACACACACACACACACACACACACACTAATGTGCTATATACTATAAAAAAGGGATTCACAAATGTTTTTTTTTTTGTCAGCTGAACAACTTTGATAACAACTTTCAACAATTTAATGACACATTTGCATGTTCATGGTTCTTGTACGGTAATTTGATATATTATGATTTAAATAAATTTGTAGTAAAATTTTTTTTGCATTAAAATTATATATTAATTTTAATATTTGATTTTTATGATTTAATCAATTATTAGCTTTTCAACTCACAAAACACAGTTAGGCAAATCCTGATGTCACACAATTTCACATACTATTTAAAAAATAAACATTAACAATTTAAACAAAATAAACATTAACTAAAAGTGAAATGTATTTTATTTCAGCTAGTTGTCAAGGCAACATTTCTCATTTTCATTTAGTTTAATTTGATGTACTAAAGTAACTAAAACCGAAATAAAAAAGAATAAAAACTATAAACATTCACATTCAAATATATAAACATTCAAAATAAAAAATAATAAAAACAGCAAACATGCACAAAATTATTAAAACTGTTTTGTATTCTTTTTTATTTACCTTTATTTAACCAGGAAATTAAAAACTCTTGAGATTTAAATTCTCATTTACAAGAGGGTCCTGGCCAAGATAGTAGTAAAACAAATGTGTATGTTTGTTGTTTTTATTAGTTATTGTTCAAATTAAAAATATAAAAATAAAAACATTCAAAATGTTAATTAAAAACTATAATAGTATATCAATGATACTAAAATAACACTGGTTTCTATATAATATGTACTGTGCATGATATGCGCATTTTCTTTATGTATAGTCACTTATATATGACAAAATGTGCAGTGCGCACTGATATACAATATCCCACAATGCAATGGGCTCGACTTCCATTTCCAGCGTGACGAATGAAATTTAGATCTGCAATTTGGACTGAAAATGCAAAAAACAATATGCATTTTAAAGATTTCTGAGCTTTGCATTGTGGGATTACAGCATTCTAGGTGTGCTCTGTTCTGTACTGCATTACTACAGCATTATTAAATGCTGGTATCGTTACATTTTTTTAATTTCAGTACCGACTGGCACCGACATACACTACCGCTCAAAAGTTTGGGATCAGTAAGACTTGTAATGTTTTTAAAGAAGTCTCTTCTGCTCATCAAGACTGCATTTATTTGATCAAAAATACAGAAAATAACTGTAATCTTGCAAAATGTTATTACAATACAAAATAATGGTTTCCATTTTAATATCCTTTAAAATATAATTTATT